AAGTGCTCTCAAAAACAGTGCAATGTATGACCTCTAGTTAGATTAAACTTTGGATAAATTGTCTTCCTTCGGCTCTATTTCATCACATTTTGTTAAGCAGTTGGCAATTTTTTTTAGTATACTGAAGTTTGCATTTGACCAGCACTTGTTGAAGAATTAAGATTGTCTTTAAGAACAAACTCTTCAAGAGGAAGCACACACATTTCAGTTAAAGAGCTTCAACTGGCCTTCATCATTTCAGATGAGGTACTTTAGGGTTGGGCAAAATACATTGAAAACTGTCCTAACTGTATTCAGTAATGTATTCTGTTACACTACATAAAAACTAACATATTCAGAATACATTTAGAACACATCTAAATAAAGCAATTGGGAAAAACTCTGTTGATTTTTATTTAATTCACATTATTCCTCACTGTTACTGGTTGATAGTTTCCTTCATGTAATTCTTCTCCCAATATGTTTCATGAAGAATTCTCATATTTAAATCAAGTTACAAAATTCCAAACATTATTTTGGCTCTATGAAACAAACAGTTCTCCATGTCCCAATGACACAATCTTGCAATTTAGACTATAAAGTGGGTAGCTGTGATTTTCAGTTAATGAAGTAACTTGCCACAAAACCCCTGTATGAATCCAGTACAACACTGATCCTAACTTCTGGTTAACATGCTCACAACTGAGGAGACTGCCAGCATCATTCCTCGATAGAGTTTAGTGATGCTGGCTCATCAGTTTGGTTTATCAGTCTGCTCAGGCTTTAGCAGGAGCATTCATGTATGTTAAGAAGCCACTTTTCGTGTTCTTCTTTAGAGTAAGTTTTTATACACCATGCACTGATTTTAAAATAGTTAATAAACAAGTATTTATGGTATTTCTTTTAAAATTTGTTTTTTTTTTTTATTATTTAGTGGGTAAGTATACTAAAAGCATTCTTCTAAACATGTAACTGTATTCTAAATACCGCCTTTACAAAATGTAACTTGTGCTTAATACACATACTGAATTTCTATATTCTAACTACATATTCCAAATGTTTGTATTCTCTACATCCCAACCCTGGATACTTTAAATCTGTTTGTGTTCTTAAATTATTATCTTATAAGCTTACCCAATACATCAGAAAGACGCTCAAGAAGTGTTAGATATCATGAATTCCACAAGGCCATCTGGACTGGGTACGGTTTTGCTCAGGAAAAGAGGAGAGCCAGAAAGTGAATGTTTGCATGCTCAGCTCAGTGCATTAAAGAAGAAAGTAATAAATCTCATCTCATTGCTCGAAGAAAAATGACTGGATTTGGAACACTATCCATGCTCAAACGGAGTGGCTGACTCTGTTACTGTAGGCTATATTGACTGTCTGAAAAAAATACTAGAAAGATGTAGACATCTAAGAATTACAAGAGCTGGAATTAATTAGTGCAATAACATAAAAATTCACTTAAACTTGAATGCTTCCAGAGGAGGCAATGAATCAGTTGGTAGTTTAGAGTTGTAGTAATTATTTTTGAGCGGTCACATTCTCTCAAGAAGTCTGTGTTCTCAGGGTGGAATCCAACTCTGTGGACTCTGTGAACCTGCAGCCTCATGACTGTCACTTCAACATCCAGCTAAAGTTCTTGTTTCCCAGCACTGAGTTCAGGAACTGAAGGAAGTTAATGTAACTACCCAAAATTAAAAAAGAGAAATATCATGGGAGAGTCCAGGATTATGAAATATTCAGTAACTGTAGCAATTGTGATTGAGTGGGCCAAGCACCATCTTTGTTTTGACTTTATATTGCTCTTCAAAAGTTATAGCACACCTCAACTTCTTTTCACTATTTAGAGCAATGTTAAAGTCCAGCATCCTTTCTCTCTGAATGGGGAGAGATCTATAAAACCAAGACTAAAAAGCCATATCAATGTTTCAAAATCAGATCTGAAATCAGTGATAAAATCTGACAAAAACAGCTTAAATAGTTTGTACTGTATGGCTAACAAAACCTCCTCTCCTTTGTCTTGGTCCAAGTTAAGACTTTATTCCTTTAGTTTTATAGTTTTTGCAAAGAAAAGTGGCATAATCTCAATAGCTTTCTATTTGATGCAGTACTGTGCAGTAAAACTTTAAAACTTTAAACTAGAACAGTTTAAACAGCCATTAAGTTCAAGTTATTCAGGAGGTATTTCTGAGGAGATTAGATACTAGATAAAATAATCTGTATATTATATAATAATGTGCGTAAGGAAGGGAAAAGTCAAAGGAAAATCAGTGAAAACATAACTTCCCTAAACTGGAGTTCAAAAGATTATTTAAATATATAGAGGAAAAAAGGTATCAGATCCTAACAACCAAGCAAGACCTAGTAGACCACCAAAACTGTCACTATCAGATAAACAGTACTTAAACCTTTCATCTTTGAGAAAGAGGAGAAAATCAGGTTCCACTCTTGCTTTAGATGTGACAAATCCACAGGTGTTTCTGACCATCCTTCCACTGTGAGATGACAACTTAGCACAATGAGTCTGAAAGGAAAAATCTGTTACTGAGAAAAGGAAATAGACAAAAAAGAAGAACATTTTCAAAACTAATAAACAGAACAATGGACTGACCACTTCCAATTTCAGACCTCAACATTACTGAATGTGTTTGGGATTACTTGGATTGTGAGAAGCAGAAATTGAAATCAACTTGTAAGACTGAACTTTGGAGGAGTCGAAAAATATCCCTGCAGATTTCTTTGAAAACCGAAAGCAGGTCTCTTGAAAAGAGTGGAAGCTGTAATAAAGGCAAAGTGTTAACACACTAAATACTGAAACAAAATAATATTATATTTAGCTGTTAATGCTTTTGTGTAATTCTCTTGTGGTTGTAATGTGTAGTTTTCTGCTTTTTTTTCTTCTCTTACTAAAAATGAGCAACATATTCTTAATAGCTGTTTTGAATGGCAACTAACCAAATGAAGGGTGAAAAGTGGTCTCTGACTCTAATTGTTTGTTATTGCAACTTGACAAAAAAATATTGTTAAAAGTATCTCCATTTGTGCAATGTTTAGTTTTCTACATATTTGAGCGCAGCAGCTGCCCTTTACTTTGTGTTAAATTAAGAACATTCTTGCCTTCTTCTGTAAAGTTGCCATTTTGGTACTTGTTTTTCATTGGACAGCGTCTGTATGCTCCTTTATTAAAAACATTTTGTAAGGCTTCAGTGGGGTCTAAAAGTCTGAGACCACATTAAGATCTGGGATTTCTTTCATTTAAACCTGGAAATAAACTACAAAAAAAAATCTTAGAATTTTGAAAAAAACTAAAGCAAAGAAAAATTATGATGAGTAAAACGAAGAAATATTCATGGTTTTGCACAATTTCTTGGTCACTACTCAAATTTAAGCAAATATGTGACACTGACCATGTTGAGGCCTTTGCACAGAAAGGTCAGATTTTTTTAATCTTGCCTCTTCCATTGAAGCTCGTGTTCAGACGAATCTCAGGTGATTTAATTTAATCTTCATAGACTTCTGTCACGGTTAGTGATCAGAGTCCATGGCAGCTCAAGCAAACGCTGTCATTAAAGCAAAAGAGGGACAAACACTAAGAAATTCTGAAATGCATGTAAATGTTTCAAAGATTCTACTTTTCATTCAGGCTGTATAAGCTGATAATATCATTTATAATGAAAAAAATTGTGTTAAATTAGAGAAAAATGCACCAGTGGTCTCAGACTTTTGGACCCCACTGTGGGTGTCCCCAAACTTTTTATAGACAGTTGGACTACATTTGAGGCCATTACCTTTTACGTATCTAAAATTAGCACATGACTCTGCACAAGAATAAGCCAGCCACTCTGTGCTTTACCACCTAAGAAGGGCAGTTTGTCTGTAGAGCAATACTTTTTTTTAACCACAAAATATTTTCTCATCAGAAAGTAAGTCACAGAGCTGTTTTCCCATGATTATGATGGAGAAGGTCAGGTCTGTTTATCAAGCCATTTATATAGGTACATAAATTCAGTAGTGCTCATGAATGCTATATATATACACTATACTGCCAAAAGTAGTAGCTGAAATCAGGTGTTCCTATGCAAAGCGTTGAATGCAGTGGTGTAAAACACGCCACCACTGGACTCTAGAGCAGTGGAGACGTGTTCTCTGGAGTGACGAATCGCACTTTTCTGTTTGGCAATCCGATGGACGAGTCTGGATTTTGCGGTTGCCAGGAGAACGGTACTTGTCTGACTGCATTGTGCCAAGTGTAAAGTTTGGTGGAGGGGGGATTATGGTGTGGGGTTGTTTTTCAGAAGTTGGGCTCGGCCCCTTAGTTCCAGTGAATGAAACGCTTAATGCTTCAGCAGACCAAGAGATTTTGGAAAAATTCATGCTCCCAACTTTGTGAGAACAGTTTGGGCATGGCCCTTTCCTGTTCCAACATGACTGCAAGGTCCATAAACACATGGATGAGTGAGTTTGGTGTGGAAGAACTTGACTGGCCTGCACAGAGTCCTGACCTCAACCCGATAGAACACCTTTGGGATGAATTAGAGCGGAGACTACGAGCCAGGCCTTCTCGTCCAACATCAGTGTCTGACCTCACAAATGCGCTTCTGGAAGAATGGTCAAAAATTCCCATAAACACACTCCTAAACCTTGTAGAAAGCCTTCCCAGAAGAGTTGAAACTGTTACAGCTGCAAAAGGTGGGCCGACATCATATTAAACCCTATGGATCAAGAATGGGATAACACTTAAGTTCGTATGCGTGTGAAGGCAGACGAGCGAATACTTTTCGCGAATATAGTGTGTATATACATATATGGTGCCATTGTCATTAACAGAAGAGCTGTTATTTTTAATTGAGGAACACTTGATAAAAGACATGAGAAGCGCTTTACTTCTCAAGACCCATCAGTTCCCCTTTTTCAAACAATCACCTTCATTTCATTTCATTTCAGTGCCTGGGCCTATAAAACTGACCCTACAGACGAGAAAGCCTCAGTTCCTCATTTTTGTTTGTGGGCGAGGTTAACATCTGCTTGTACGTTGTGTTCACGGGTCATTGCAGTCACATGAGGAGCTTGAAGTGAAACATATCCCAACTGCTGGCAGACAGATTCACAACAAGAGCAAGGCAAGTGTGATTTCTTACATTTGTATTATTAATTTTAAATCATCTGTGAAATCAGGCCTCGTAGCAAATAGGTAGAACTGATTAGAATAGATTGGTAACTGGTAAACCCCAGCATACAATAACAGGAGGGATTTCTTTATTGCTATATCTGCAGTGCCTGGTTACATTCTGTATAGTGTGAGTATAGTTCATAGCTTGACAGTTCTTGTGTCTTTTGTGGTACTGCAGGTTGATAGTAATACAGGAAACACAGCACATCATTTAAAGTGGACTGCTATTTATTTTCTACTTTGACTGTAGTTGCTTCTTACATTATGTAAATCTATCCTATGTTTTTTCTCCACATCTAGATGATTGCTGTGTTGGTGCTGCTCATGGCAGGGCTGGTCTCCAGCGCTGTAATCTGTCCTGACGGAACACAATGTCAGGACAAAAACACCTGCTGTCTAACTGAGAAGGGATATGCCTGCTGCCCATATCCTAATGTAAGGGAAATAACTGTTTTGTGATCTATTATGCTTGAGTTAGATGGGCTTTACGTTCTTTTACTTTGTCAGTGGTACTGAATAGTGTGCTACAGAGAGTAGGTTGAAAAATGCTGATTTATTTGCCAGCAAGTCCAGGCTTCCATTCCACACTCCTATAACCTTTTTACAGATTTTAACAGGTTAGATCAAAGGCTTAAGAGTAAGCTGCTTGATGCATGAAACGTTGTTTTATGATAGTTTTGAGATAAGATTTTGGACTATAATATATTCAAGGCAGAGAGGTACATGCAGGTACATTCAGATTTACCACTACTTTACCATTATTCATATTACATGTAAAAACCAAGGATGCACATGTAGGTTGACTTATTCTTTAGGATATTAAATAAATTAGCTATATTTACAATGTAGACCTTGTGTCTCCTGGTTCCTATCAACACCACTGTAAAGAAATCTGAGTCAGTAAGTTTCTCTACAATGAACAACTTCACATCAAACTCTGAATGGCATTATTTCCATCTCAATGATTGGATTATACAGAAACTCTGTGGCTCTCCCTTTAAGAATAACTCAGTTTCTGTTGTTTTCCATGTAATTACTAAATAATAATTTAGGATGTAGCCAAGGAGAAGTAGAAGGCTCTTAGAAGGATCAAAGATCGTTCTTCTATGGCATCACAAACAGCCCTTTTGGCATCTTTCTTTTTAAAAGTGTTGTGAAACAAATTAATAGAAATAATATAATTTCTTTGCATCATTTCATACACTGCAATTGTAACACTGGGTTGTAATGTAATGGCATATTTTGAAATACATTGCATTTAAATCCACCTTGTGAAAATGTCTTTAAAATAAACTGTAATTAACAATGCCATATGTGTCATTTTAAAGGCTGTCTGTTGTCTGGACAAGGCCCACTGCTGTCCAGAAGACTACCACTGTAACCTGCAGACTCAACATTGTGAGAAACAGAGGTTTCCATGGTACAGCTTCCCAATGTCCCCTCAGATAACTGCTGAGGAAACAGAAGAAAAGCCTCCCTCTCCTGCAGTGGATATGTCCAGCCTTTCTGCATCTGTGGTGCATTGTGACAGCTATCATGTCTGCCCTGATGGTACAACGTGCTGCAGGTCCCCCTATGGCACGTGGACCTGCTGCGTGTTCAATATAGTAGGTATACTATACCAAGGGTGAATGCTTTAGCAGGATTTTGACTCTGTCTTTAACATCATTTCTGGTACTATAGGGCCAGTGCTGTCCTGATGGCATCCATTGCTGTCCATTTGGTTACCACTGTGACTACACGTCCACTCACTGCCTGCGGGGAAAGCTGAGCCTGCCTGCTTCTCCTCGGATACCTGCCACGTTCAACAGCACCAAGCAGGTACATGAAAGAGCAAGGATATCATCCAATGGTGTAGTATGTTAAGCAGTACAGAACAGAGCTATAACATTTACCACAGATGTAGTAATGTGTCATATGACTCTTTGAGAGTAACTGTGTTAATGACTGATATGAGCTTGAACAAGTTAAACATTAACAAAGTACAAGCTATAAAAATAGGGAGAGTGTAAAAGGAAGTAGGGCACGATATGATTCATAACTCCTGATATAGGTTCAGTTTTAGTTTTTCATATAGTCATGAAGGCAGTTATACATAGAGACAGGAAGGAACTTGATAGACCACCATCTATCACTGAGCGCAGCTGAAAATGTCAAAATTTACTTATTTACTTTGAAATTCATTCTCTGTATTTTTTTTGTTCAATGTTTAAATCTTCTACAGGGAACAAACTTAAATGTGGTATTTTTCTGTAGATTTTCTTGCACAGTTTATATTTACATGCTGAGTTTAAAATATTGCAAATAGTAAAACCTAAAATATAACATGTACCATAACTTCTGCACAGTCCACATTATATGTTTTTATTTTTGTCAATATGTTAAATTCAGCATATAAACAGTAAATGTGTGTTAAAATGTACAGAAGTGTGTCCTCTATAGAGGATGTGTACTTATCACAGTTTCACACTTTCACGAGCCAACAAAAATGTAATTTGACCAGGGGCATATACACTTTTGTACTCTTCTCTGTTCTCTTCCTAAGAACATAAGAGCGGAGTGTATGTGGGTGTTTTCAGTGAAAATGTTTAAGACCTTCTGGTGGAGGAGAGTTCTTGTTATTTCCTTGTTTTACTTTTAATTTAGCATTGTATTGGCTAGTTATCACCATCACCATACGGGGTCTGTGACGGTTTTCAGTCATTCAAATCACTGAACCGTCTCGCAGTGCTATGACAAGTCCAGCCACCTTGACTTCATATCACTAGACCATCAGCACACTGGCCATTATTAGTGATTGCGTGAACTCTGACTGACTCCAAAATGCCAGTCTTTCAAAATGCAGAGCACAACACCTTGCTTGGCACTGGAGGAACAGGAACAGGAATAGAAACAATGTAATGCAAACCGTTTCAGGTTTTATGATGTAACTGAATCTGTGAGACTAATGAAAGGAATGGCTGTTCCAAAGCTAAATTTTAGTGATTCATGAGTGGGAAACTGGCCAAAAGAGCCTAAAACAAAACCTTTCAATAGTCAGGAAACACACTGAATTGCTTTATAAGCAATGGAGGCATCAATAAGAGTTGGTACAGTATTGTATTGCATTTCCACTCTTGAATTGTCCCTCCAATCATGCGCATGACCCCCTATGGAATGGATCAAATCATCATGAAATCAGCTCATGTGCAATAAACTAGACAGCATTCACACAATAGTTTTACAAATTTGTCTTAATGTGTGATTTTTGACCTCTGATCTGGAAAAAATGTCATTTCTAAATGACAATGAAACATAAAGGGTAGCATTTTTCATCAAAACAAGACATTTTCGAAAGCTTATTTCTTTCAAGAAAATAACATAACTGTACTGTAAACCTCTTTGAATTTGATTCTCTGTATTTATTTTCACTTATTAACTTGATAGATTTACATTTGTATTTTTATTTGCCAGTTGATTAAGTTAATCAAAAAATATCATTTTTGATATTTGCTATTTTCAAATTTCAGATTAAATGTCATTAGCCTATACACTCATATTCTCTCTTACTTATTTCACACAAATTACGAAGTTAATAATACAGTAATTTTAGACGTATATTTAATGTGGATTCTGATTTCCATATTGAAAACTATGGCCTTTATTACCACATATCTAACTTGGATTGATTCCTGCTTTTCTTAAATGTAAGATCAGACTTTATTCCTTGTTAAATCTTTAAGTTTGATAACCTCGGTTGTTCTGTGCAGGATCAGTGCTGTCTGAGTGAGACGGGCTGCTGTCCCCAAGGGTTCCACTGTGATGAGGAGAGCAGAACCTGTGTAAATGACTTTGAAAAGTTGATTCCAGCGGTTCCTCTGATGCAGACTTCAGACAGCCAGGTCAAGGCTGGGGTCATACGCTGCAATACCCGCTTCTATTGCCCAGCTGCATACACCTGCTGCAGGACACCAACTGGCCAGTTTGGATGTTGTCCATATCGTCTGGTAAACTGATTGATATGTATTACTACTACCATGACACAGGCTTCAGTGTAGCTCCTTTGTTTAGAGTGATGTAGAGTGATGTTGTTGTTTTTGTTTGTTTTAAAGGGTGTGTGCTGTAAGGATGGAAAGCACTGCTGTGATTATGGCTACAAGTGCAGCCCATCATCCTCCCAGTGCACAAAAGGCTACACAAGCATCCCTGCTCGTCCCAAGAAAAAGGCACTGATCCTCTAAACCCATGCACTGATATAGATCTCTAAAAGGAAGACTATTATCCATATAAGGAATAAAGCAGGGAGCATGCACTGATAAATCATTTATTACTCTTTTGAGGTACATTTTGCCTCTCCAAATCAATGTGTCTGCTTATTTGGTCAATAATCTTTAATGTCTCAGGATTTTTTCTTTCCAAAGATAATCAGCTTTTTTTTACACGAATCAAGATTCTGCTTTTAGACTAATATAAGAATTACACACTCAGTCATACAACATAATGCAGTAGTGTATCAGGCAGTAGTGTCTACATACATCACTGTTACTGCTTGAGAGTTGACCACCACTGCAAAATACCCAGCCAAGAGCAGCTCTGTAGTTACTGACCATTGTTGAATGAAGGATGTGCAGTGATCAACACCAGCAAGGCGCAGCTGATCTAATATGGCTGTATAATGTTGTGAGAAAAAAGTGTGAAAAAACATTTGAAATGATCTGATTTTCTACAGAACCTGCTACCAAAATGTGCTCTAATACTCCTGTTATATCATCCTAATGAATAAAGACAAAATGAGCCACGATTGTTCAAACCATTTGTTCGATCTGGCGCTATAAAACTGTGTGTGTTGTTTAATACGCTTTTATTTATTTCTTTATTTGAATTCAGCAAACATTTTCACACAACTTTATGAAGGAAGCTCTTCTTACGAGAACTTTCGTGCACTTTTTTTGGTTTACTGCTCCGCCCCTACATGTGACTCGGGGTTTCTATGGCAACGCCGTATCAACAGCCCGGCGGCGGTGCTGTGAGTGCGCTTTCAAAATGACAGAGATGTCGGCAATGAGCAGGAAAATCATTCAAAACCTCGCTGAAACGCTGTCTAAACAAGTAAAACACTGTAAGTATCTGGACTACTGCCGCCAAATTTTCTACCTAGCAGACACTAATAGACCACAGGAACACTATAGATAGATGGAGTCATCTATTAGCAGATTGGCTAGCCAGGCGTTAAAGGGGAGTTCCACCGATTTTCAACATTTGTTGTAATATTTAAATCGTTGAAATATAAACAAAGTCCTTCAGAGTGCTTTGGTGTGAAATGCTTTACTGTAGAGAAACTAACCAACACTGATTTCTCTACAGTGGTTATGACAGGAACCAGGAGTCGCGATGTATACAGCACAAATATAGCCATTTTATTTACTATGCAAAACTACCAGTGAACCTACACGTGTCTTCTGAGCTTTTATATGTAATGCTGATGGTGGTATAACAGTGGTACATCTTGATAAGTTTTCATTGGCGACTATTTTGCCGCACAACACCCTGCAGGTAGCACTCCGCCATTAATATCTTCAAAACACATTTTTTAGGGGCACTAAACGCTTTGGACGTCTGGTTCCTATCACCACCACTGTGAACAATTCTGAGTAAGTATGTGTCTGTAGAACGGTGCATTTCACACTAAACCACTCTGAATGACTTTGTGGACATCTTTAAGACTGAATTATGCAGAAATTCAGACAAATCTGGGAATTCAGTTTTAACATGCATACCAGCTAGGTTTGACTCCAGCTCCACATTCCATGACCTATTGTATGGAGGTTTTATAACACCTTCCCATTACCAACCAGAAACTCTAGAAATTTGTTACTTTTATCTAAGTCTATCACCTGAACCACAAACATTGTAGTTCTCCAGATAGACAGAACCAGGACCTCTAATTCAACTGTTTACTAATCAACCAAAGGAAGACAACAAAAGTTATAAGATTAAAAAAAAACGTTGCACTAATACTAATAATATTTTTACTTGTAAGAATATTTGTGAGGAAAAAATACTTCTTACTCTGTTACATTTTAGTAATTTAGTCTGTAATTCTTCATTATTTCATTCATTATGTTCAGTTGGTTTATCTACTGGACGCCCCTCACTTTTGATGTTTTCATTTTGAGATAACATTTTAATTTTAGGATATTAAAAAAAGAAGAGTACTGAAGAACAAACTTTAGTCCCTATACTGATAGATGCTGGATACACTAAGACGTTTTAAAGGGAAGTCAATACTAAGTATTTTTTTGTCCTGCTACTTTTGTTGCTCCATTCAAGTAATTTTTTGGGAAAGGTACTTTTTCATTTACATTAATTATTACTTCACTAAAGTAATGAGTATGGATTTTAGATTAACAGACATCTGCTTTAATATAAAAGTCTACAAACTTAACCAGAACCCTTTTCATTCTCCAGTTAATAAAACAGAGGCAGAGTGCCTCATTCGACTCTTCAACGGTCTGCTGGGAGAGCAGACTGACAGGCGAGTGGGGCTTGGCCTGGACCGAGGCAAATTCCGAAATATCCTGCACAACACATTTGGACTGACAGATGACATGATTATGGACAGAGGTAGGGTCACTGGGGGTGCCTTGTGCTCTGCATGTAGAGGCTAACACTTGTAGAAACCAACACCATATCTACAAGGCTAACATTTCTCTGACCCCACAGTCTTCCGTGCCTTCGACAAGGACAATGACAGCTACATCAGTGTTAAGGAGTGGGTAGAAGGACTGGCCATCTTCCTTCGAGGAACTTTGGATGAAAAAATCAAATGTAAGAAGCTCAGTAGTGTGTGTGATAAGAGTAATGATCTGGACACTGCATTCATGCTGTGCTTCACCTTCTGACATTTTTGCCAGACTGTTTTGACGTGTACGACCTGAATGGAGATGGGTACATTTCAAGGGAGGAAATGTTTCACATGCTGAAGAACAGCCTGATCAGACAGCCGACCGAGGAAGACCCTGATGAGGGGATTAAGGACCTTGTGGAAATAACTCTGAAGAAAATGGTGAGGGGAAAAAAAGAGAAGTGGTCCTGCATAGTAAGAAGAGAAGGGTAACAATTCCACTGAAATCGATTCTGGTCTTGGTGTTTAGGATTATGACCACGACAGCAGACTTTCATATGCTGACTTTGAGAAGGCTGTGAGGGATGAAAACCTGTTACTAGAGGCTTTCGGAGCCTGTCTTCCTGATGCAAAGGTAAAATTACACATTTTAAAGCATTATGGGTGTGGGTGATTTCTATACATACAGCAGCAGGAGATAAATGAAATGAGTTGCAATCATTTAATGTTCTTGTAACAAGATAAAAGACATATCCCACATAGTGAATGTAATAATATTTATATACTCCTTGGGGGGGTCTTTCAATATTTTTCTACGTACTTCTTTTAATGTGACACTGATTTTGCTGTGTAAAAATGTAGTAATAAATAAATTTGTTCAATGTAAATGTTTGTATTGCAGAGTATTCTGGCATTTGAGCAACATGCATTCCAGGAGCCTCAGGAGCGCTGAATCACTCAAATAACAAAAGGAGAAAACTGTTATTTTGTAACAAACCAACGCTCCAGTATAATAATAATAATAATAATAATAATGTACTGTACACTGAAGACCTGAGTAATGTATTGCTGTTGCAACTGCAAAACAAATGTGATTAAATTCTTCGCCGTGGCTTTGCTGTGGTTGTCTTTCTCTCAGATGGAGTTGATGCAACCTACAAAAAGAAAAAGAGCAAATTATTTCAGACACTTCACCTTTCCTTAACCATCATAAACCAGACTTTTCTGTCAATAATGTAAACAATAAAATAATTATACTGCTAACCTTTGCCATTGTGTGCCTGATTATGTTTGCAGTTTTGTTTAATGAATCATCTTCCATGTCCATCTTTGGTGGTTCTGGTAGTTTGGGTCCAAACAAGTGGGCATTTTTGTCTGCCACTCCTAACAAGTCTGTGTTGTCCTCCATTTTCCTTTTCCTGTTTTCCAAATGTGCAGTCCTTGGAATAAACCTTGGTGTACTAGTTGGAAGACCTTTGTTTCTTTTAGTCCTTTCTCTTTCTTCATAGCCAGAAGACATCAACTGTGGTGAAGGTGAGGTCTGCTTGCAATGGTCTGAGGCACTAGGGATGAAATTATGTAAAGATCCCATTTTATCCTCTGTAGCTACAGTTCTTCCATGTACACTGAAAGACTGAAATGAGTCTTTAGAAGGCAAATATTGCAGGGGAGCCTCTTCACAGGGTGGTAAGGGCAACAGTGCAAAGCCAGAATGAGTACTGGAACTAGAACTGTCCCCTTGAGTTCTCTTAAGATGTGTCCTGTCTTCACATGCAGCAGATGATGGAGCTGGTGACTCTGAACAGGCAGTCATAGGGTTCGCTATGGGTTGTTCCTGCTCACAGTCTTTATCTGTAACAAAATGTATCGTGCAAGATAATTGCAATTGTTTGGTCACACAGGGAAAAAAACTTTCAAATAAAACAATGTGCAAGTACTAAATACCTGTTCTTTGACCTGCTCTGTTAACATATCTTCTTCTGTCCTGCAACTTCTTTCTCGTGTCTTCCACAGTCTCATATTCAGGAGCATAACACACATGTAGCAGCCCCCCAAAGAAGCTTTTCTCGTCTGTATTCCTTTTGGCCGCCCTGAAACAATACAGAACACTACATCGTTAATAAATCCATCTTAGCTGTTTCATAAAATATTTATCACATAACAGGGACTTATTCTCACCTTGCACTTGTGAGTTTTTGGAACTTGATGAGGTAAACTTCAGTGAATTGTTCCGCAGGATATTCATCCAGTACTCTGTACTCTTCAACCACTCCATAGAGAGCAAAGAGCTGCACCAGCTCATTCATCACCCCAATAGCAGGCACTCCTTGCACCAGCAGAAACCGAGACTCCAGATTAATTGTGTACACCTAAACATTTACAAAGCAAAACATATGCTGTAACTACAAGAAAACTACAACCATTATGGGGCTTTTTTCCTGCTAAAGCAGAAGAAAGCCAGATAGCTAATGGTAGGAAGAAGATCACCTCTGTATCTATTAGCCTCTATATCAGTAGATTTCATTATGGCTGTGGGTGTGGGAGGAGGGCGAGTTCCAAAGGCTCTATGATGTATTTTGCACAATGCATCCTGGATAGTTTAGTGTGAAAATAGTGATGGATGTAAGCGATGCAATGCAGCACTATAGAATATTACATAACATGACAAATAACATATTATATGCTAATTTTAAGACAGAATGCCCCTTAAATTACACACAGTATCCACACAGACGTTCAACTGCTCACACAGTTTGTATAATCTCAATATAAAAAACCTTTGCCAATAGAATGGGATGCTCTGGAGCAGCTGCACCGCACATGAGCCTTATATCACCAATCCTAATGCCAAGCTTGAGGGGTATAAAGCTCGACAACCTTGTGATGAAGTGAAACCGTATTCTTAAGAACTCTACTGAACAACTATGGGATGAGATGGAGTGATATTTGTCTTCATTTTCCAACATCAGCACATGACCTCACTAATGCTCTTGTGAATGAATGCAATCCAATTCTCACAGCAACGTTCTAACATCTAGTGCAGTGGTTCTCATCCTTGGTCCTAGAGGACACCCTGCCCTGTACATTTTAGTATTTTCCCTAATCCGACTTGTCACGCAAGTAGCAGACCCATCCTGAGTTGAAGTGGGTGGGTCAGAGCAGACAAACACAAAAATACGCAGGGCAGTGGGCACTGCAGGACCATGCCTTCCTAGAAGACTACAAGCCCTGACTGCAGCAAATAATACTTTTAATTTGAGAAGAAAAGTACGATGAGCAGGAGTCCACAAACTTTTGGACATATAACAATACTGTTATACAACATGCAGACAGTATAAAACAGTATTAGGTAGGAGAAAGGAGGATGGCTAACGCTGAATGTTTAGAATAAGTCTGTGATGGGATGCTTGGCTAGCTACGAGGCTGAAGTTGGCTTCCTATCTGAATTTCCCCGTTCCACCTTAAATGGTGCAGCAGTTACATTCTGGCTGTTAGGTTCAGAAAGTAACTGCTGCGCCATTTAAGGTGGAACGGGAAGATTCCAACAAGAAGTTGGCGAGTAAGAGGACATCATTCAGCTTCGCTGGCTAGCTAACGGTGATTTTGCCCATTCAGCGAATTTATTTCATTCTAAAGCTCCGACAAAAATACTATACTGACCTTAACTGCTTTTGGTCTCCTCCCCTCTCTATACTTTGGCCGTGTGAGACAAACGTTTCGCTGCTCATGATGTTTGTACACTTGCGGCGTATCCCACACAGAGCTCCCCCTCTGAGCCGCCATGTTTACCCTCCGTCACCACCGACGCAAAAGTGAAAACAAGACAGGCTAAGACCTTACTAATCGATCGCAGCAGTGGCTGGGCATTTACAGTAAAAGCAAAAGAATCTGAAATCTCATATTTATTACATTTTTGTGTAATGTTTCTTTCTGTATGCAATGTTTTAATAGTTAAGAAAATTACAGAACAAAAAACATTGTATTATCCAAGGGCACCATTAGAATGCAGGTTTGAATGTCTCAAGAAATCCATTATAATTTTCTAAGCAAAGCCGCACAATCGGCAGCTTGATTGGTCACGACTGCTTCTGATTATTGACATATCTGGCATGGCGTCGTATCCACTGTAGTTAGCCTGTTATTGTACACGAGTATTAATTTCCATAATCATCGAGAAGTAACAGGTGTTTTGAACGCATCTGCGTGCAATGTTGGGGAGCTGCGGAATACAACCAGTTACGCTGGTCTTCAACAACTCAAAAAACTGCTTTCTTCACCTGCCATCTAAACTAGTCACTCAACTGTCTTTACAAGAGGTGTGTGTGTGTAGTTAATAGCATGCTAAGCTGTCCTTGCTGTCTTAGTAAGGGTGCACTTTAACCCCGTCTTTATCAAATGTAGTCCCAGGCCCTGGAGCTCTCCTGGGGATCTGCAGCTCCTGTGTTCCTCAGCTGGATAAGAAGCCACACATCATTGCAAGAGAACAGGGTGGAGCTGAGTAGACAGTTAGGGGAGAAGCTTGGACTTCAGGAGGGAGAACAGGTAAGGTTAGAGGTTTGAATACGCCCACTTAACTAAACCATGAATTCATTATTTGTTGTAACATGTGGGGTGAAAGCAGAATGATCTGTTAGAGGTGGGCGTTATGGAAAAATACAGTGTCACGATACTTCAAGACATTTTCACGATACACAGTATGTCACGATATTTATTTTTTCTGACACCTGAGGAATTGAAACGGACAAAGAGGAACCAGTAGTGCTAGCTACATTTAAAGACAACACAAATAGAAAATATTTTGATGTTATGAATATGATGTTTTTATTCAGTGTTTCACACACTGCAATGCACTAAATCCATTTAAACAGACCTAATTATACTATCTTTGTAATCAAACGTGCTGTTGTTCAGTGTTCTAAAAGTACTGACAATATCAATGATACGCTCAGAAAAGCATATTGTGACAAAATTTTTCATGATAACGACAAATTTCATCATACTACTAAGCCCTATCTCTTACGTGCCATGTTCCAGGGCTTCCTCCGGCCATGTGGTCAGGTGCAGTCTGTGCAGCAGGTGTTTGTAGAGCCTCTGTCTTCAGATGACTGGGAGATCCTGGTGAGTCCCAGTTGGAAATAATCTACTTATACGGTGTAAATAAGTAGAATTTGAAATTTACACTAGTCTTTTTATTTACATAAGTCATGATGAAATGTATAACCACATAGTCTAATGCATTTGTTTCCAGGAGCTTCACAGCACAGCTCTGGAGCAGCAGCTTTTAGACCAAATTCGAGTTGTCTTCAGCAATGGGGTGTTCCCTGTGTGGGTGGACCATCACACCATCATCTACATTAAGATAGGTTTGTATCCTTGAATCATCATTGTAAAGCAGTACTCTTAAACTCACAGTACTCTTTGTAAAGCAGTGTCCCTCTTGTCCTTGTAGTCTCCCTATCTCCCTCTGTCTCGTATGGCCGGCTGGAGCAATTCACTGAGCTGATCGTCTCTCCGAAACTTCGATGTGGAGACAGGCAACTCTCCCCAGTGGCTTCAGATCCAAAGAGCCAGGTCCTGCAGAGGCAGCAGAACTTTGACCTCACATCCTCTTCCACCACCTCCTCCCTTGAAACCGATGCTGTTCATGATCCATTCATTGATCAGCTAGAATTCAGTCAGAGCCACTATGGTGGTCACTGGGGTGGAATAGCTGACCTGAGGAGTCTGGTGAGATATGTGTTCACAGGGAAATTTGAGCCAGTAAAGAAGATTCCTGAAGTCCCTGCTATCCCTGTAGTCTTCCCAGATTGTGTACTTAGAGTGAGCAGATCCCCACCAGGTGCAATCAGACATCTTGACTCAAGTCACAGAGATGTTCACCTGTTACCATGGGACTACCTACAATACGAGTACTGGAGTACACGACAGCCAGTCTTAACTTATGCTAGGCTGTCTAAGATACATTCTCCTAAAGAAGCAAGGGAGCAAGCTAAACAAATGATGGAGAAGAAAAAGAGCGGAAATGCCCCTCAGACAGAAAATGATGTACAAGAACACATGGAAGAATCTGTGGTGGTCAGGATGCTGTGCCATAATGTGGAGAAGCTGCAAGCAGATCAGAAATCCTCCACAATGGGAGAGATTTACTGTGGGAGGGTGTGGGTAAGTATTGTCCTGTGCCACTTTTCTTCATAGTTCAGACAAAAACTTGTTTGGTAGGGGCGTAACAATGAATCATGACGGTCAATCATGGATCTTGAAGAATACACACTCTGTTCATTACATTTATGGGGTTTTGGCAGGCGCTCTTATTCAATTTGATTATTTTACACAGATAGGCAAAGGTAGAGTTAGGACTCTTGCCCAAGGACTCTTATTATTATAGTGTAGGGTGCTTGCCCAAGCAAGGGATTGAACCCCAGTGTACAGTGTAGAAGGAGGAGGTGTTACCCACTACACTATGCCGACCGGTTGCGTTGTTTGAGGACCACAACACACACTAGCATGTCCATTAGTACACTGTACAACAGCATTCAGTTTTTGATCAGAATATGGCACGGTAGAGTTTGGAACCCAGTATCATGAGTCAAATTGAATTGATTGACCCAGAAGGATAAGCGGTTTAGATGATGTATGTATGTATGTATAATATCAAATAAAGTCTATTTAAGATTACTTAGTGTAGTTTAAGGCCGATGTGTGACGATTTAGGCATGCAGTTTGCATGAGGCTAATTGGTGGTTACAAGCTTCCATAAGCTTCCATTTCATGTTAGCTATATAGCATTCCACAACCATGAAATTTTAGCTGATGATTAATTGTCATATAAATAATTGTGATAAACAGTGGCAGTTAATTGTAGCCATATTGCTACTTAGCAGCTCTCAACTGAAACAGACACATCCTAGGCTCAAATAATCACTCACTGCTGCCCATAAAGGTATTACAGGACCAGTCATAAGTAAGAACTTACAGTGAGACCCATAACATGCCACAATAAATGTGTTTTCAGCTTTCTTTTACATGTGTATCTGTCTCATATTGGCTGATTAAGAACTCCATATTCCCATTCTGTTTATGTAGACATGTGATCACAACTGTGAATATTAATTGTGATCAGCTTAAAATAATCACAGTAAGCGCAAATAATTGCAATCTGGCGATTATGTCATTATGTAGTTGTGACAGGCCTAGTAGGAATTTTGTTCCCTAATGGATGATAATTCTTTAACACTCATTCTGAGTGTGATAACACAAATTCTGAAGTGATTTTCTGTAATTGAGAATAGTGTTTCTCTTCTCTCTTCAGATCCCAAGCATTTTACGAAGCAGGCTGAATATAGACCCACACTCTGCTGTGAAAGTTTGTCCCATAAAGTGCATTCCTGAAGTAGCACTTGCTGTCTCTCTTCAGCCATTACAGCCCTTAGTGAGTACATCTCTCTTCTCTTCAGTACTGTGTGTACTGACATTTCACCTTTTAAATATCAGAAGTATGTGTATATCATTTAGGACACATTGAAATAAGGGGATTCCACTGTGCTGTGTGTTTCCTTTCTCTCGCTGTAGGCTGAGAGTGAGAGAGAGGAGGATGTTCAGTCTGCGTTTCTAGGCTGGCTGCACGCACTGAGCCACCAGCCTTTAGCTTGTCTGACAGGTCGGACCAACATCATCCTCCTACGTTGCACTGAAGGTACAGACAAAGCATGTGTATTTAATACCATTTAGTATTGTTTGGCTTTTTTTAATCCCATTTGGCACTGCTCTCTTTTCAGGAAAGTATGAGTTTGTCTTGACTGTGCAGAAACCTGAGCCTGAGCCTGAAACCCCAAAACAAGTGGATCAGATCTTTTTTTTATCCACCAGTGTACTATGCAAACCAGACATACAGGTATGTTGATGAATGAGTGGATGGAAAATTTGTAATTCCCTGCATTTTCATTTTCACGCTCCTACATGCATTTAACACCAAAGTGTCCTGTTTCATGTTTTTTATCTAGGTTGTCAAGGAACATCATACTTCAAACCACACAAGCTCAGTACAAACTGCAGATGAGTCACCCTGTGTTGGCTTTCCTTCCCTCAGCTCTCTTGGGTAAGTCCTGAGTACCAACATTAGCAATGTTTCATAGCAACAGAAACCACCGATACCAAACCTTGGCAAAGAAAAAAAATTGTTTCCAAGGTATTTACAGTCATATGGAAAAATTTGAACACCCCCAGTCAAATTACATGTTTTGTTGATTTTCTACTTAAAATAACGTTTCTGTACATTTTAGTGCACAATTGCTGCTACATTTAATATATTGGGGCAAAAATAAAATATAAAATATGCCATAACTTTTTCACATTTTTTTTTCTATATATACAACCCCATTCCCAAAAAAGTTGGGACGCTGTGCAAAATGTAAATAAAAACAAAATGCAATAATGTGCAAATCATTTAAACCCTGTATTTCATTGAAAATAGTACAAAATAGTACAAGAACAAAAACATTTCACTTTCAAAACTACGGCAGTCGGTCTCCTTAGTTCCCAAACGCTTACAGAGTGTTGTTAAAAGAAGAGGTGATGAAACACAATGGTAAAGATGCCCCTGTCCCAACTTTTTTGGAACGTGTTGTTGGCATCAAATTCAAAATAGGCATATATTTTTCAAAATACAATAAAATTTCTGTTTCAACATTTGATATGTTGTCTTTCTATTATTTTCCTTTAAAAATATGGTTTCCATGGTTTGCATATTATTGCATTCTATTTTCATTTACATTCTGCACAGCATTCCAACTTTTTTGGAAATGAGGTTGTATGAAATTCAGCAATAAAACATGAAAGAGCATGGAAGTGCACAGAAGTGTGTTCTCTGTAAAGGGTGTGTACTTACTGTGACTTTTGCATCTTCCCCAGAGGCACCCATATTTTTGCATGTGGCTGTATATAGTAACACTTGAATAAGCACTAGTGCAGATGGTCCTGCACTAGTATCTTAATAATCTTAATCATACCAGATGGGCGTAAGGATGGGGGTGCACGACTTTTTTTTGGCAAAAAAAGAATGGATCGGATGTACCTTATACTAATAAATGATACATCGCTCTGTACTGCTAATCAAGGTGGAGCTCTCTCTCTCTCTCTCACATATATATATATATATATATATATATATATATATATATATATGACAAATATTGGATTTTGGCACTGGCCCACAATTCCCATATTGGTGCATCCCTAATTCCTGATTTATGCATATTTCTGTGGATCTTATATGCTTGTCTTGACTGTGCCTGTCCAGTGGAGTGGATGACATCAGTGCATCTGCTTTTGAGCACATCTTCCACAGTCTGATGGGGGGTCCTCTCTCCTGGGAGCTGGTGTCCGCTGGCTGCGGTCTCCGGAGTGGAGCTCTGCTCGTTACAGGAGCCAAGGTGACCACATAACACTGGACTCATGTTTGTAGACGCCTTTTATAATGACCAGTGTCAAATAAAGACAAGTCAAAAGCAGACAGCAATACCATTTGTCATTTTCAGTATTTTTTCAACATGTAGAAGTAATGGAAATCGCAGTGATAGCTGAGAATTATAACGTGTGATGAATCCTGTGGTTGACTAAAGGGCAGTGGAAAGTCTGCACTATCCAGGGCCCTCTGCAGAAAGGCAGCAGAAGAGCTGGACGCTCATGTTGAGGTGGTGGACTGCAAGAAGCTTAAAGGTTGGAGGAAGCCTTTGTGCCTTTCTGCTGTGCTGTTGCTCCTTCATGAGAAGGATCATTTTAATGGATACAGACTGATATTGAGTGTGTGAGATGATCTCCTGAATCTTTCAGGCAAGAGAGCAGACACAGTGAGACAGAGGTTGGAGGAGGTTTTTGAGCAGGCCGTGTGGAGGCAGCCTTCAGTGGTGCTGCTGGATGACCTGGATCACATGGCTGGGGCAGCCACCTCGCCTGAACAGGAGCAGGGCACAGAAGCTGTGCTGCGTCAGCACATCGCACAGAGTATTACACCACTCTAGCCTTCTCTCAGGCTATGTTCACATTACAGGCTTCATTGCTTAATTCAGATTTTTTGCCCATACCCAGTCTTTGGCTGTGTGCACATCACCAGGTTACTTTTTGCTTTAATGCAGTGTGGACACACAAATCCAATCTTTAAAATCAGATCTGAGTTACTTTCCTATGTGATCCTAGATCAGATACATCTCAGATGTGTAGCTTTGCCACCTTAATGAGGACAGTCAGATGAGATAGGGTGTGTGCATGTGGGGTACAGGTTTGTGTGCACTAAAGACAGATATGAGTCACTTATAAACACAAATGTGAACCATCAAGGCAGAACAAAACAAACAAAAACAAAACAATCTAAACAAAACAATTGGAATTAAGCCATAAGGTTTATGTGAGTGTAACCTTTCCACCTTGACATTTGTGTTTGTAAAAACATTTGTGTTTGTATTATAAGTACTGTTAACAGATCTCTTCTATGAAAAGACCCGCATACAATGCAGGCACAGCTGAAACAACATGATGATGTCAGTGTTATGCAGATGTGCAGTGAAGTGTCGTTGTAATAACAGTTGTATCATGGCCATGTATGGGTATCTGTCCAATTTAGGAACTCGCATGAAAATGACTCAAATCTGAATTGATTTTTGTGTCCACACTGCTGTGACAAAATCAGATGATAAGGCACTTCAGCTCTGTAGTGTGAACATTGCCCTAATCACATTTAATTGCTCTTTCCTTAAAGTGGAGTGGTCTAATAGTGCCTTTGTGTGTGTGCTGCTCAGGCCTGATGGATTTGGTAGATGAAATAGTGGTGCGCTCCAGTCTCGTAGCTCTGCTGGTCACTGCGCACACTGAGCACTCTCTTCACCCAATGTTGACCCAAGTACAGGGAACACACTTCTTCCAGAGCTTCTGCAAGATCCAGACACCAGACCAGGTTAGCTCACAAAGCTAATTACGTACTGTACACCTTTACTGTTCATATGGGTTTAATTTTAACCCTTAGACGTCACAGTTTTTGCTGGTGATAGCAAACACTTGTTGTCATTCTACATTAAAATGTGTAACATTATGTAATGCAACTATGTAATTATCTAGGATATGTTAGTACGTTTAAGTAATTATGTAAATAATTATGTAATAAACCATGTAAACTATTTAAAATCATTCTTTTTAAAATTAATTTACCAAATGAACAATACGTTATAAAATAATTAAAATCAGTTACAAAATTGTATTTACTTAAAATGTAATGCAAGTTATGTTAACTTTGTCATTGTCATTATTATTAGTAGTAGTAGTAGTAGTATTATTATTAATTGTCGCTGTCTGGACCTTGTCTCTCCCTTTTTGTCTTTTTTTTTTTTTTTAACATCTCTGTTTTGCAGGAGTGTGTTCCAGCAGCTTCGACATAGTATTAGCGTATAGTTATTATTATTTAGAACTCTACATCTCTCCATAGGCCTCTTGTAATTTAAATAATGTGTGTAAAAGGTGTTGATTTTGTGTCATTTTTTTATTTACATTCAAAAGAAAGCTATGCTTTATGTAATTGTTTGCTTTTCATCCATACATAAAATCTGTGTTGTTTTGTGTGTACAGACCAAGAGAGTGGACATCCTGAGATCCCTGATGGACAGTAAGAATGTCATATCTGAAGACAGTTTCATGAATCTTGATCTGGACACCATTGCCATGAAAACCGAGGGCTACCTTCCTCGAGACCTGAACCTTCTACTGGACAGAGCCATTCATGCCAGCATTGCGCATAACAGAGGCAGTGGCACCGTTCAAGGCATGCGTTCAATCAAATCACACATTACAATGATGATGTGGTTGTTGTTCTCCTGAAGATCTTCAACTCTGGTGTTTTCTCACAGGTTTGTGTTTGAGCAGTAAAGACTTCCAGCAGGCCCTGCAGGGTTTCACACCTCCCTCCCTGTGGGGGGTGCAGTTGCAGACGCCCAGCGGGATGGGCATGGAGCGGATAGGGGGTCTTCACCAGGCACGCCAGCTCCTGATAGACACTATCCTGCTGCCTGCCAAGGTAAAGCAGAGCTGGAGGTTAATCATCTTGTCAATTCTGTTTTGTTCCCTTTGTCAGCTTCATTTATCTTACATTATCATATTATGTTACATTACATTATCACATATTACAACACACTTTTCAGTCACACGCATACATGCAGGCCATGCACGTGGTCTTATTGAATTGTATGCATGTGATTTCAGAGCAAAGATACACTACTTACTTCAGAAGTTTGGAGTCAGTTGCCACATTTTTTGTGTGTGTGAAGTTATCACCTGAGATTCATTCATTTTCTAAATAGTATGAATTCTAGACAATAATCTAATTTTTTATTTGTTCTTGATGCTGCACAGTGTTCTGTGTTATTTTAGAATTTTCTGCAGCTCTGTTCATTCTAGACGGATCTAAAATGTACTAATTTTTATATCCAGCTCCAGTCCCTACAGTGTCCCAATAATAATAATCAAACCAATGAAGGTGCACGGGACTAGAATATTATAATCATTTTATACACTTGTCTGCGACAAAAATAGGTTTTATATTATCAGTGATTCCAAACTTTTAAATAGTAGTATATGTTCAAATTAATGAGTTACCTACACACATAAATGTCAACAGTCAAGCCAGAGTGATTGAATCTGAGCAAAAATTTGGAATTGAGCAACAAGGCATGTGAACTGTTTCCTAGCCGCCAGTGCTAACGCCCTGTATGATGTGTTCCAGTACCCTGTGCTCTTCTCCAGTCTGCCCATTCGCCAGCGCTCAGGGGTTCTGCTTTATGGAGCTCCTGGCACAGGCAAGACTCTGCTGGCTGGAGCTGTGGCCAAAGATAGCGGGATGAATTTCATCAGCATCAAGGTGAGTGTGTTTATGTGGGAAAAGCATAATGCTTGTATACTTGTTATTGACTGGGCCTTAAGCTTATGTAACCAACCAAAAGCCTCATTTCCATTACATAACATTAAAGAAATAGCCCTGGCCCTGCTGTGGATAGTGATGTGATGCAATAGTGTTATCCTTTATTAGATGGGTGTAAAATTAAAACCGTTTGGTTAGGATAACAAAAGACATGTACCAGCTCTCTTCTCAGTAAGAGGACTTTAGCTACAGCTGTTGTTTTTTCTCTGCTGGCTTTGTTGTACCAACAACTGTAATGTCAGTGCTGAACAGGTTCCATTACTGTGCATGTATGTTTATGTGGTGTTGTTCATCGTTAATGAGTGTCACTGTAGGAGACATACAAGGGATTAAGCTGTTAAGGACTTTGTGTTCTCCTAGGGTCCAGAACTCCTCAGCAAGTACATTGGTGCCAGCGAACAAGCTGTGAGGAACGTGTTTCAGAGGTTTGCGTCACATTCACCACTAAAAAACATCCACCTCACCACCAAACTACACAGCCACACTACAAAGCTGTTTACAAGTTGTTTAACAGACTGAAAAAGCTCTCTCTCTCTCTCTTTTGATTTTTACAGAGCACAAGCAGCTAAGCCGTGTATCCTGTTTTTTGATGAGTTTGACTCGCTGGCTCCTCGCAGAGGTCATGACAGCACAGGAGTCACTGACCGGGTGGTTAACCAACTGCTCACACAGCTGGATGGGGTAGAGGGACTGCAGGGTGCGCACCCAAATACACCTTCATTTTCAGGGATTTTTATAATTAAGTGATGCATGATGTCCAGGCCACTTAAAGTTATGAACATCTTTGCCATCTTATTGGGATTCCGAGCTGGCACAACCTACCTTGAGTGTAACATTGGCCCTCTTGACACTACAGCAGATGTACACATAGTTTCCATTTATCACAGTTGTCAATGAAAATGGGCAATAAATGTCCAAAAACATGCCATCCATGGCTTTAAGGTGCACAAAAGTAAATATATTTGTCTCGTAGTCTGGCTTCTTTTAAGGTGGAATGTTCATCCATATCCTGAATCAGCCCTATAATGCTGTCTGGCTTTAGAACGTTCAGCAGCAGAGTGAGGTAGATCTTTTTTTGTACGAATTGGATTCCCTCAATAAACATTAACAAGGGCTTAAAGGATTTTAATGTAGTGATTACATCAGTTCATATGTGGGTAGTTTAGATTCCGAAAGCAAAAGGATTTTGTTCCAGCTGCCTGGCTTCTTTAATTAGCTCAAACCAGCAGCATAGGTGTCCAGGCAGCTGAGACAAAATCCTGGGGAGGATTATTACTCTCTGGACCTAAATTACCCACCTCTGTGTCAGTCAATTAAAAAAAGGACCACACATAGCTACAGTAACAGTGACCTTACCTAGATTACTTAACATAGTGAAGCTTCAACCATTTTATTATTTAAACAAGAAGTGATTTATTAAACCTGTAGCAAACACTACCAAACCATACCAATAAATTACCAAACCATACCAATAAATTACCAAACCATACCAACATACCAAAGTTAGCTTGCATTTTTTTTTACCAGAAAGCATGTTTATTTGGGCGGCACGGTGGCGCAGTGGGTAGCGCTGTCGTCTCACAGCAAGAAGGACCTGGGTTCGATTCCCGGCCGGGTGACTAGGGTCATTTCTGTGTGGAGTTTGCATGTTCTCCCCGTGTCTGCGTGGGTTTCCTCCCACAGTCCAAAGACATGCAGTCAGGCCAATTGGACGTGCTAAATTGCCCCTAGGTGTGAGTGTGTGTATGTGTATGTATGTCTGTCTGTCTGCCCTGCGATGGACTGGCGACCTGTCCAGGGTGTATCCTGCCTTCCGCCCAATGACAGCTGGGATAGGCTCCAGCACCCCACCGCGACCCAGAAGGATAAGCGGTTTAGATGATGGATGGATGGCATGTTTATTTTCTCCCTTATAACCAAGCACGACAGGTAGTATGGTATTACCACATAACTGCTGTGCTGAAACAGGTTACTGGAGGGAGGTGCTGTGGATATCGATTAAGAGGATCCTTGGTCTGTCAGTGTAAGGAGCAGCCTGCAGTCTATATTTACAGCTCCTTTTTTCTGCACGCACTGAAAATGCACAGAGGGTATGCTGGTGGTATGAGAAAGCAGCCCCCCAAACCCTATGATAGCGTAGTCAATTAAGAGAACTCAGTAGCGATAGCTGTGGGGCCCAATCAGATGATGGTATTTTGTACATGCTCATGCTATCACAAGCCTAGGATCGAGTTCCAGTTTCTACATTCCATAAATATTTATGTATCCACAGATGTGTCTGTGAATAAATATTAGATATTGGCATCGGACCCCAATTCACATATCAGTGCATCTCTACATCTTTTGATAGCTGCTGTCTTGTGGAAATCAAAATTTCAGTATAGATATGCAGCTAATGTTTTTCTTCACTATCACTTCTTCACTCCTTCACATCAGTTTTCTTCACACTGATGTGTATGTATCACAGTCTGTCACACAAATGTGTCTTAGTGCTCCTGTTGAGTGGAGAATAGACCTCGAAGTGTAGTCTGCAGTCTCATTTGGAACTGCTGTATTTTTTCAGGAGTATATGTGCTGGCAGCCACCAGTCGTCCTGACCTGATCGACCCTGCCCTGCTGAGACCTGGGCGGCTGGACAAGTCTATCTACTGCCCACCTCCTGACCGGGTCAGTCTTAAATTACTTACTCGGAAAACTTTCACTTTCACTTGTTTTGTGAGGTAGATATGTGAATGAAATCTACAGCCCCTACGGAGAGAAAGAATTAGTTTTTACATAAGTTTTTGTTTTAACAAAGGCCTGAACTGCTGGAGATTTCTGATATCAAATGTCAGTGTGAATTTTGAACATTTTTAATGCGCATATGAAGAATTCACAATTGTGCAAGAGATGTTGGAGAAATGCTTAAATTATGTGTAATTTTCTTCATTTATTTTGGTGACTTTCCTTTTCCTTTTATAGTCTAGTAACATACTTAATCAAAGTGTCTTTATTGCTTTCCAGAAGCCCCACTCCCCTCCCATAAAACAAATGCATGTGATCTGAGCTATTTTAAATGAAAACCTTTTAACTTTTAACTAAACATAAGCAGCATACAGAGCCAAATAACAAGATATCTGACCTTTCTCTTGATGCTTAGTCACAGTCATTTAGATACGTGTGTAGGCTGAGATTGGCACTGATGGTGACGTGATGGTCAGTGGTGTGGCTTACAGGAATCACGGGTGGAGATTCTTAAGGCCCTGACTCATTCAGTGCCGCTGGCTACAGATGTGGACCTGGAGCAGATTGCTGTGGCCACTGAGCTGTTCACGGGAGCTGACCTCAAAGCTCTGCTCTACAATGCCCAGCTGGAGGCCATTCACAGCAGCCTGGGGCCTAGTCTATTGCCTGTGAGTTACATGTAGTACTTCACAGTTCACAGTGGTCTCTGGCTATATTCTAAAGTGAAAAGTTGACAGATAGAAACTATATAAACTTTTTAGAACGTGGAAATAAATGAATGTTGTAAAAGCTCTCAAGGTCAGTATACCCTCTGTTCTGATTCAGGATCTGGGCTCAGGATCGGACAGTGATGTGAGTCTGTCCTCGTTGATCTTCCTGAACCACAGCAGTGGCTCTGATGACTCTGCAGGGGAAGGCGAGGCTGGGCTGGAATCCTCTGCAGCAGTGCTGCTGGATCACAGTGAGCTGGCCCCTGATGATCCCCGCCACAACATCTGGCGCCTCTACTTCGGCAGCTCCTTTGAATTAGAGCTGGGCAACCAGTCCCCGTCTGAGCTGGTAAGAGATGGTTTATTGCAGCACATTTGACCGGAATGATTTTCCAACTGTGTTCTAGAGAGTACACACGGCACCTCAGCTTCAATTCTGAATTTCTCAAAAAAGCAGTGCAGTTTGTATTTACACTAGCTGTGAAGTTTAGGGAAACTCTGTCTTCTTTTCAAATGACTATAATTACGAAAAGTAAGATTAAAATGAAGATTAAGTAAGAATAAATACCTACAAAGGTTATTTATGAACCAAGAGTATGAGTAAAAGTGTAAAGTTAACATGTAAGAAACAAAATTTGACATTGCGTATTCCTACTTAGTTCATGTCCCTGGTCATATTAAGCAAAATTCATCATACTATACTTAAAAGACTCAGTTATTGTTTTCTTACAATATTTAATCAAAGTGTTGTGACCTTTGCTTGCCTTTAAAGTGTCATCTGATATTTGATTACCTCACTGTGCACCATCAGGCACGGAAAAACCTAACCAACAATATTGTGTTTCATCTCCCTCTTCTTCCACCCCCACCTATCACTGAGTGAAACATTCAGCTAGCTCATCGCCCACCCCGATACAGCACTTCACTCAGAAAAACATCACTATGTGAGGGACAGTGTGTTACGATTTTCAATCCATGCTGAGCATGTTTCACCTAAATAATGATTTGACAGAAATGAGCAGGAGCAAAGGCAGAAAGAACTGAGGAGCTGACAAGCTTGGTTTTGAGAGAAGGACTGAAAAGCCACTGAAAAGTGGACAGCTTTGATTTTGTGTTGTTTTTTGTTTGTTTGGGGGAGAAAAAGTTGTATGTCTGCTGCGACCTACAGCCCTGCCTCCAGCGTCCTTCCTGAGCCCAGGGTAGCACAGGCCGTGCTACATGCTTTAATATGTTAGGTTGTGGCAGCAACTCTTTTGTTTTAAAAACATTTCTGAAAAGTGTCCCCAAACCTTTGACAGGCAGTGTATGTGATGCAGTGCTGTTACAACGTAAGTGAACAGTTACTGTAATAGTTGAAAAATGGTTCACTCCTCAAAGCTTGACGTTTGCTCTTCAATTTTGTGTCCTCTGCTCCCAGAATTCACAGTGTCTGTCTGTTCAAAACTCTACCACTCATGATCTGACGGGCGCATCAGTGAGGGACACAGGCTGTCTTCATGGCCCGGTCGTCATGACCTCTCTGCAGGAGGGCTTTCAGGAACAGAGCCATGAACAGGCTGAACGCCTCAGAGCTGATCTCAACACAATCAAAAGCAACTACCGCAGGAGCCCTGTGAGTCAGAGGCCTGCACTGACACATGCCTGATAATTCTAGTATTTTTTAAGGTGTTTAGGGGCATCTAGAGCCCAGAGATACCATACAGAACATCATACACAGCTCACAACCTAGTGCATGTGTGTATGTTTCTAGGAGGACTCCTCGTCGGTGAGCACAGGCCCCAGTAAACCAGGCCTGCTGATATGTCAAACTCATCTGGCCTCAGCACTGGCCAGCACCAGAGCCTCCATCAGCAGACAGGACTGGAGGAGGTACACTGAACTGTGAGTATCTGTTGTTTGAGATTTTTATTTTTTTTGTAAACTATTAATGAATTTATTATGACTATTTTTTTGTTTGTATATCTCTCAGCTATGAATCCATTGGAGCCTCAAGGGAGGGCAAACCGCAGAATACAGGCCTGTTTACACCAGGGCAGCGAGTAACCCTGGCCTAATGAGGACTATAACCACGCCTAGTCTGTATACTGAGGCCTGTTTCACACATACTACTTCTGCTCAGGACATCTTGCTTTGTATTTCAGTGCTCATGTTAAGAGGTTAGAGCATTCGCACAGCACTATATCACAGTTGCAGGACCAAAGCAGCACTGCATGTAGAGACAGAGGTTTTCAAATCCTGACCTTGAATTCAGTTTCCAGTAACTGGAAGGTGAGACACAAAGTGGCCAATCAGTTACATCAGCAGTTCAATTAACCACCAGTGAACACAAAATACAGGACTGGTAACTGGACTGTAAAAGACTCTATGTAGAGAATAGGTATTGAGCCTATTTTGTCCTCAAAATACAGTAAAATACATGATGAACGAATGAAAATTGAACAAAAATCAAAACATGAATTCTGTCATTTTATGGCAAAATGGGTGCCTGTAGAGCTTGGTTAATCACAGGTACATAAACGTTAATGTGTTGATGGTCAGTGCCTGCCCGCTGCAGAGGTCATGCTGACACGTCGCTCATATCACGCAGAGGTATTATGTATGTAACAGGCCTCAGTGCTCAATAAAGAAAAGCAGTAATGGTGTAAGTAGTGGATGTGAAACTTGAATTCTTTATGAAAGTCATGAAGTCTTATATTTAGGGCTATTTGCTGTTCTCCTTTGCCTTAATGAATCAGAAGTATTAGCCTAAGCTTTAATCATCGTGTTAAATGACATGTTTGATGATGATAAATGTACATTTATCATCATCAATCTAAATGTACATTTAGATTGTAAATTATGTACATTACTCAGCCTTTCTTAAGGTTAGACAGTTTAATAATTAATTCATTTAATATTCTAATTAAAATTTTAGTAATTGTAATATATTTAGGAAATGCTTTGGGAACATTTGCACTCTACACACTGTAAATGCAGAAGTAAATGTGTAATTAAACAACGAGTATGTATATATGTGAATCACTAACTTAATTAAAATAATATTAATTTACTATTTATCCAAAGTGCATTAATTTGCTTCCTCCAAGTACTTTGCCTATAACCTGCTTTACAAGCACACATCCATCAGGGTTTAGCGTGTTATTTACAGAACTCTTACCCTTGCAATTACTGAGACAAAACAAATTACTTAATAATTATAGTATAAAAAACCAGAAGGCCTTGAATTAATCTCACTTCATTGTTACACTTGATATTTATCCAGACCAGCAGATGGCAGCATATAACAAATAACTAATGCATATCTAATGTGTAGCAGACTGTCAGTATACTCATCATATTGATTAAACCATCTGATGGGGTTATTCACAGCATAATTTGGCACACATTTGAAAACCCACCAGACCCAATCTGTTGCTTTTACCTCACCTTAACTGAACTCATGAACACTTTCTGAAAACTTAATGAGTTTGTGGTTTAGTTAAAATTATAGCATTGAATAACCTGAATTTCTTAGTGCGTCAAAGTTTCCTTTGTGCTCCTCCGCAGGCCTTTTTAGACACGCTCTGTAGCTGAAGCTGTCTGCACATTTCTGATTGTCGTTAAATGTTCAGAGCACGCTCTCCATTCACTCTGCCTTGTGTTTGGCAGCTTTGAGCTGAGTTTACAGTCTTGCTGGAATAGAAGACGCAGAGCAGCCTACACATTGACACGGGAGGTGCTGCAGACTTATATATAGCAGGCCTTTGTTCTATCAGAGAACACGGCGTGGGCTATTACTGAGAACTGCGGGAGACGTTCTAAAGCCCAGGAGAGCGCTGCACGTGCAGCTACAGCCCATTCGGCTGTCGTGCCTTTTGCTGAAACGTTGTGAAAGCAGCACTGTAATGAATCAATCGATGGCTACCTGCACTGGGAGAGTGGTGGAGTGAGTAGTAGAAATCTGTGAAGTAAGAGTAGCTTCACCTCTGGTGATTCTTGACATGAATACAAGTAAAGTTATTAACAAAGAAAGCTGCTCAGGACTAACCTACATTTATTGTGCATTGAGAAAAAAATCTGAGCTGACTCATTAGCTTAGCTTAACTAAATTAGACTCAGGGCCTAAGGGTGTCACATGAACATGTAATGTTTATTTACTTTAAACATGTGGTTTGGTACTTGTATATGTATTTATATTTGTCCTGTATATAGGTATTTACTCTTTACCCTACTTATTTCCTCATCACATTTTTTTTTTCATTTTTTCCTTCATGCTTACAAAATAATATACTTGGGGATGCGGGGGGTAGGGTAGCATGCCACGTAGGGTCCCCAAATGTTCAGAAACAGCATGATAATAGATGCTCTCAATAGAGTATATGATGAGCTGCCAGTTTTTTACCTACACTCACATATAAATGCACTTTATATGTATTGCATCAATTACTAACTGTACCTCATACATAAAGGAGGGACCACTAAAGAAACTGACCACTGATGGTGGGCTAAAAAAAAGATCTGTAGTGAAAAAAGATCTGTAGTGTTGTACCCAATCTGGTCAACAAGATGTGTCTCTGAGAAAGTGTCCAGTAAGTGCAGGGGTCACCAGTCTTCTCTGCAAGAGGCTGGTGTGACTACAGGTTTTTTTTCCAACTTCCCACATTTTTTTTCCTACAGGAGCATATTTTGAGAACTATCACCAGCTGATTAAACGAGTGGGATCATGCTTTTACTTGATTGGAGTAAAAACCTGCAGCCACATCAACCCTTTGAGGATAAGATTGGTGACTCCCGAGTAGTAAAAGCGCCACCTTAAGTTTAAAGTAACTACAGAAGGACGATGATATCGATATATATATATTTTTCATTAGCATCACACTGTTAGAAATAAAGCTTCTGTGCAGGTACATTTTTTGTTCATCAAGGTAAAACTGTGTAAGTGTACCCTTAAAGGTACAACAGTGGTTTTAAGTTCCAATTGTGCACCTTAAATAAGTTTGTCCCAGGTTAAAAGTATGTATTTGTATCTTTTCATAACTTAATGTTTTGAAACAGAACAATAAAATAAAAAGCCTGGAGACGAGACAGGGTGTGTGGAGTCAATACAGCTTACAAAATATAATTTCAATGGATTATGGTACAGTTGCGTTTCCTAACTAATGGTACTGAGATGTACCCTTGACACACTAGGGGGCAGTGAGCACACTTGCCTGGAGCGGTGGGCAGCCCTATCCACAACGCCCAGGGAGCAGTTGGGGGTTAGGTGCCTTGCTCAAGGGCACTTCCGTCACGTACTGTCAGCTGAGGGGATCGAACCGGCGACCTTCCAGTCACAAGGCTGGTTCCCTGACCTCCAGCCCACGACTGCCCCAGTGTGCATGTCTGTCGATATATCAGTTTCGACAGACATGCACATGAAAAACATTGGATATGGCATCAGACCACTATTCCAATATCAGTGCATCCCATAAAGTAACGAGTGTAGTTGTAATTAATTTTACTTGATTGATTTGTCTTTCTTTTTGGAGAGCAGGTCGTTCTGCTGTTTGGTAAGAGTCTGAAGCTGAAGCTGTGTAACAGTTCTGCCTGCTCACATCCAGCATCTACAAACCCAGTCCACTCAGGAGACAAAGCCTGATATCCCTACACTTTGCATATCTGTTCAGCAGAGTGGGTGTACAGTCCCGAGGGGATGCATGCACGGGCTGAGAGAAGCCTCTGTGGACTGTGAAGTTTTTTGGCCTAAAGCTGCTACAGGACTCATATGTAGGACAAATCGGACGTGTTTCTCTTCAGAAGTTGGGGCTTCATTTTCAGAAGCCCATTGTTAATGCATACTCTAACCGCTCCGACTTTGAAGTGCTCCCACTTGAAGAGACGAGAAGGGAGCTCAAGACGGGTGAAAACAAAAAGAGCAGCTCAGACAGGGGAAGCTTAAAGCGAAGCGTTTTCCCTCAGCTGAGGTCCATAGGCTGCCATGCCTTGTTTCTCTCACCAATTCCTTCTTATCCCTCCTTGAGCTGTATGTTCAAAGCAGCTCTCTCCCTTTGTTGCATGGAGGATGACTGTCAATTTCCCAGCTTCAACAGGCAGACTTTTGCTGTGGTTTGAAAATAACGCAGAGTGGCTTTGAAAGAAAAGCCCAGCGAATTGCCATCGTAGGACAGAAGAGATGGGGGGGGGTGCAGAGAAAGAGCTCTGCTGTTTACATCACCAGGAGAGACACGTTTGCTGACAAGTAAGGGCATGTCTGAGTGACAAATCAAATCAGACTCCCAGGGAGGGCACAGCATCTGCTATAAATAAAACTCTCAGTTTTATCAACTACTCAGAAGATCCATCAGACAGGTTCTAAAAACAGACAGGGGTCTCTACTTGGTGTTTCATTGAAGGATAGGGCACATAGGTATCATTGTAAGATGCGAGACAATCCAAACAAACCAGTAAGACCATGTATTAGGCAAAGATCAAGTTTTGGCCTTGAGGTCTTATGACTAACTAGTCTGGGATAATCGGTCAAATCACTGTCGGGACACTGTTAGTATGGAAAGAATTTGCATGATACTGATAATATCAAATGATGCTGTAAAATACTGAAAATAGTTACAATCTATGCTACAAACCACTGATTTAGCTCATTGACTGGTTTGTATTGTAAATATGCTTTGCTAAGAGATGCAGTACATGAAATTACACCACATGCACAGGGCTTTGAAGTATTGTAGCAGTGAAATGGTAGCAGCTGAAATGACTACAATTAGAATAAATTCCTCAGCGTGTTATTCACTGGCAACAGTGTAAACCAAAATAAGAGCCAATTTACAAGAAATGAGCTTCTTTCTTTGGAAACAGGCTATTTAAAACCCAGCAGCAAAGGCAGCCCTGGACAGAAAGAAGTGAAATGAGTGTGCAGAGAATGCGAGTGTCATCTGTTATCTTCTGTTGGAGATAGAGATGACGTCTCAGTCGGGGCTGAGCTGGATCTTATGTAATGAAGTTATTCTGCCCTGTTAATCTTGCCCTTAGGCTATTGACACACATACTCATACCCCAACTTCCCCAACCACAATCTGCAAGCTTGATTATCACTGTAGAATAGAAAAGTAGTTCCTAAATGAGCCAAACGTGTGTATATTTGTTACAGCAGGGCTGGTTGTTGAGTATCTGTTTTGAGTTTAGCCTTGAATCTGCACTGTTTGTAGCACAAGATCAATAAAGATTGATTAGAACCCCACAGCCAATGGCTGAGCCTGAGGCAGGAGGTAGACTTGTATATGAGAAGTTTAGTCCGTGTCATCAGTAATAATGGAAGCTACGCCAGCCTGAACTCACACACCGAGATTAAATAATAATAATGATAATTATCATTATAAAAACGTGATTCTGAATATCTGTGTAAGAGGAGAAACATTGTATGGAGAGAGAACTTAAACAGTCATCCATTTAACATAAACACATATCAAAATAAAACTGTATAAATTAATAGTCACATAAACACAACCACCAAATTGAAACAATGCAGTAAATGTGGCTACAAAGCCAACTACCAGATTTTTATGAGCAGCACCACAAAAGCCACAAAGACAAGAAATGTAAAACGTATTGATCATTTTGAGAGATGCTCTCAACATTGGACAGGCTTTCGTCTACATTACTGTCTCTTTTGATCAATAGTAAAGTTTACTAATGGCAGCTAGCTATTAGGGCCTGACGATATTTTCCCAATTTAAAATGTATTTAAATTTAATTTAAATTTAAGTTTGCATTGATAAAGTTAATTGCTCATGCTTCCTTTATATTGTTACTCTCAGGGTTGGGATGTAACAGAATATAAGTATTGTACATGTTCAGAATGCAGAAACAAAGTTTCCGTATTCAGTCTAAGTTACATTCTGTAACAGCAGTGTTCAGAATACAGTTACTTTTTATATTTTTGGAAGAGTACTTTTGAACACTTACCCACTAAATAAAACATACAAACGAAACATGGCATGTAGCAAACATGCTAGACAAATTCTAGAGGCTCTCAATTAACGACTTCTTTACAAACACTGAAGGTCCTACTAAAGCCTGAG